CGTCCCTCGCGGCCGAGCGTGCAGCGCAGCCTCCCGCTGCAGAACCGCGTCATGCCAAAGGCCTTCACGGCAGTGTCACTTACAGCAGCCACCGCTCGCTGAAACTTGATCTTTTTGCCATTTAAACTGTATGCGAGTCATTAACACTGCCCACATTCATTTCTAAATATAAGGGAAATTTGAAGTTGTAAGCAAAATTTGGCTTCTTAGTTCATGGGCTTTTGCTCCAAACAGTGAACGTTTAAGCAGAACGGTGCTTCTACTCTCAAGGCATCAAATCCTCAAGGGGCAGGAGCGAACGAAAGGGGATTTGACAGTTGACACGTTTCAGTTCGACGCTTACGATACAGACAGCCTGAACGCTGGAATTGTACAAAGGTGATTTAATCGCCTATGATTCTGAGAAAGACCTGGAGACGGGTTTGCAAAGACGCTTGCTGGCTCCACCTGGCCAGCACGGCGGCAGCAGCCCTCCCGGGAAGCGCCAGCACGCGGCTGGACTCTCAGCACCAACAGCTAATGAAGACACGCCAGGACAAAGAAAAACCACGAACTATATATCACCACATTATGAGACACAGGGTCGACAGCTGAGTTGCTTCAGTCACTGAGAAGATAATGGACTCTGGATGGTGTCCAAAACTGTGAATTCCCCCCCAGCTCCAGAGAGCTCTTAAAACAGGCAAGTTTTGCCATCTGTCACAGCCTAGAACCTCAAACCCAAACTGACAAAATCGCAAATGTACCCACGGGGACAGATTATGCCCTTGCACGAAGAAAGTAAGTTCAGCTGCTCTGCTAGCTCTTGAGATGATACACAGCGGTATAAAAAGCAGAAGCAGACGACCTGCCATAACAGTCCTGACTGTTGAGCGAGGCACCCAATCCCCAGCCTATTTTTATCAGTGGCAGCGCTGCTCTTTAACTGATGCTCTAACGCAATAGTGCCAAATGTGTGCACCATGCGACAGGTCTGGCTTATCTGCTGTACTCAGTGGCTAGCAGGACATATTCACATGCTCCAGAACCTATGCCAAACTCTTATTAATAAAAGAAAGTCAGCCACTAGCTCTTGTGACTGCAGAGAACTTTCCAAATGCCAGTGCATAACTGATGCAGAGATGTCCCCTTGCGTCAGCCAGGAGTCTGACACAGTGATTTAGAGCATTACCCTTCTGCTTCCTAATAGTCTCATTGGATTATCAATTTTACATAGGTTAATGCTGACAACTGTAACAACCACCAGGGGCTTTATCCAATGAACATTTTAATGGTGGGGAAAGATTGGGGAA